GAATTTTTCTCATCTGTTTTGTGTGAAGCATTCAGCTGAATACTAGACATGAAATGAAATACTACTTGGATCACCATAACACTGGACAAAGATCTTATCTTAAGCAAATGGGGTCAAACTACTTAAAGCTGTCCGTCACACCTCTGCCTGAAAAGTGTTTGGAATACAATTACTCTATTCAAAAAACAACTGTTTCCCATTCTCAGCTGGCTCAGGAATTCTGGGAGTTGAAGTCCACAAGTCATAAAAGAGCCAAGGTTGCCTACCCCTGCACTAGAGTAAGGGAACAAATGGCCCTTGTCCCAGAGATCCAATATCCGTTCCAATGCCTTCTTATCACTGTAGAGCAGTTAACACTGGTCAATCAACTTGATTCCTATTTTATTTGAGCTCAGATATATTGGTTTTCATTAACTGGCAGTATGTTGTCAAGTTTTTATATTTCAATATGTCTATTTGTATGCCAAACATAATCGATTTGTGTCAGAAAACTATGATGTATATCACAAAGGAACAAAATAATAACTCAGGTCCTATCATGCTTACATGTATTTTAAAGCAATGGAAAAAGCACATTGGTGCCATTCATAAATTATACAGCACATATGTATTTTGTACATGCATCGGAATATAATGTTCAATGAGAATCCATCCTTGGTTTTGCAATTTCTGTCTATACCAGATGGATGTGTAATGCTCTGGACTATAAACTCCATCAGAATAGCTAAGTGGGGATATCCAGAGCACTATAGGATGGGAAAGTTGCTTTAGAAATGCCATTAAAACGGATAAGATATTTTATACCTTGTGACTAATGCAAACATACACTAATTCATCTAATTTTATAAACACTTCACAAAGGAAAAAAAAATCTCTCAATAGTGCAAAGAAAATTGGAAGGAGTGAGGAAAAAGCTTGCTCACTAGCATATTTTCAATATTGACTGCACTAATTCAAAATATATCTATATATATTGAAAAATAGCACCCCACATTAGTTATACGTCTTTTCCTCAATGTGAGAACTCTGGAAATTTCAACTCTAAAAATTATTTCAATACCTTTTAAGGCTGTCTTTCTTCTTTATTTTTTTAAAAATATTCACAATGACATAGTCATTACTGAAAAACAGATTTGCCTAAATGCAAACAAAACATACATAATTGTGGTCAAACATCGGTGTTTAAATCAATTTTTGGAATGCAAAGAAGCTGAAAAACATAGAAAGGTAACACTGGATAAATGAATTTAACTATATATCACATCAGAGATGTTTCATATAAGAGAAACAGCTAACCAGCCTTGCAATCCCATTAATTTTTTTTTTTTGGAACTAAGTCCCGTTGCAACTTATTACTATGTAAAAAAGATGTTGAGACTCTAGAAAGAGTACAGAGAAGAGCAACAAAGATGATTAGGGGACTGGAGGCTAAAACATATAAGGAACGGTTGCTGAAATTGGGTATGTCTAGTTTAATGAAGAGAAGGACGAGGGGGGACATGATAGCAGTGTTCCAATATCTCAGGGGCTGCCACAAAGAAGAGGGTGTCAAGCTATTTTCCAAAGCGCCTGAAGGCAGGACAAGAAGCAACGGGTGGAAACGGGTGAAGGCAAGGAGAGAAGCTTGGATCTTGATTCCTCTTTGAAGGACTGTCAATCTTGTTAATTGGTCACCTTGTTGGACGGAGGTCTTCGCCACTTACGAGGTTGTGACCTTCAAAAATTCTTCTCTGACCTGTCGGTAAACAGGCTTTACCATATCCCAAAGGACGGACTCGTCCCCCAACCTGATCTACTGGAGGTTCCAGGCTTCCAACTTTACTTACTACTATTACTATTACTAAAGCCCTGTGGTTACAATTACAATCCAATATACTTGTCTTCCTCTCTATATGCACATGGTAACATATACAATGAAAAGAATCTTAGTCAATTAAACAGGAGAGGTTCACTTAATTAAGGACACCTTATATACATGTGTTGTATATGCATAAAACTAATACTGAAATTTCATGCATATCCTTTTGTAAAGCAACTTCAGTGAATTCAGTGGGACTTTCTCTAAGGCAGCCTATACAGGAGAGCAATGTAAATATTGGAATCAGGAGAGCAGTGTAAATATTGCAACTTCGATGAAGCTTCCTGGATGAGAAGCAAAACGCTTTCAAAGAGAAACAAAGAAAGTCTAGTTGCCTTTTGAAAAAGCACCTTTGAGACAATCATGATCTGGATGATTGTGAATCTCCAAAGACATCCTAGATCTTCTTACCTGCAACAGATGCTCTGTAAGGATATGAATATGCCCTATTGTGAGATAAGGCATATTCACATCAGATGATAAACTGGAGGTAGAGGCAGTCCTGGCAAAAAGAAACAAGAAACAATGGATGGAAACTAACCAAGGAGAGAAGCAACCTGGAATTAAGGAGAAACTTCTTACCAGTAACATGAGGACAATTAACCAGTGGAACAGCTTGCCTTCAGAAGTTCTAGGTGCTTCATCGAGGTTTTTAAGAAAAGACTGGACAGCTACCTATCTGAAATGGTATAGGGTCTCCTGTTTGAGCAGGGGGTTGGATTAGAAGACCTCCAAGGTCCCTTCCCGGTCTATTCTAATTGATTGAATTAAACCATGTGAAATTCAAAAGGACATGAGACAAGGATATCCCTTATCTCCTTTATTGTTTATATTGGTATTGCATAAAAATTATAAAGGAAATTTATTAATTGGAAGCTTTTGCTGATGATTTAGTTATATTTCTGCAAAACTGAAAATCTGATATATAATACTTAATGAAGAAATTAAATGATTTTGGAGCTTTAGTGGGTTTCAAAATAAATGAACAGAAAACACTTGTTAAGAATATGGCTTTTCAAGATTATGAAATATTGACAACAAAGTCAGGTTTCAAGGTGGAGAAAAAGATTAAATATCTTGGGGTTACACTGACAAAAACAAACTCTAAATTGTTTCAAAGCAATTTTTTATCTGTGTGGAATGATATTAAAAAAGATATATTAAGATGGGATAGTTTGCAGTTATCCAGTTGGGTAGTGATTCTTAAAATCAACATTTTAACCTTGTCATGTCATAAGTAGATGTGCCATCCAAATCTTAGTTCATGGTCCTTTAATTCAAGTAATCTCTCCTTTTGGAGAGTCACCCCTCTTTCACCCAATCCAAACAGCAGGCATCAAAGTAAAATTTCAAATCTGGTAAACCCAAACTTCCTCCTTCTTTAGTATTTTGCAGTAGCTTATATCTAGTTCTTGGTTTTTTTCCTTGCCATATAAATTTAGAAATGTCCTTTTGCCATTGTTTAAATGGAGTGCCAGTTGTCAATATAAGTAAAGTCTGAAATAAAAATAACATCTCTGGTAAAACATTTATCTTAATTAAGAGATTCTACCCAACTGCAAACTATCCCATCTTAATAGATTTTTTTAAATATTATTCCACACAGGGATTTGGAACAAATATAAAACAAGGTTCTCTACAACTCTTTGGGCGTCATCCCAGGAAGTCTTTTTCAGAAAAGAACCCAAGGCAAGGCCAGACTGGTGGACCTTTGGTCAAATAATACTTTTTAATCAAGGCGAGCCTACCCTTAAATCCAAAAAAGAGTGGGAGTCAGAAGGATGTGTCTGTCAGTGATTTACATATTTAGAACTGAAAGAAAGATTTAAATTAGATAATTAGCCCCTGGAATTACACCTGGAAGCCAGTGCATTCACGTAGCAACAGTATTACATATTGTATATATACTGTGGTATACCCAAAACTTCAGGTGCCACTGCATTCTGACCTAATTGTAACTTCCAAATGCTTTTCAATTGCAGACCTTTGTTGCAATGGTCCAATCTGGAGGTAAGAAAGACATGACTGATGCATAAGATGCATTTGAAGAAAATGAGCAATTCAAGGCCAACAGTTGAACTAAGGCTTGCGACAAAAGTCAAAAATAACAAAAAAAGCTTTTTTCAACATGTAAAAAACAAGAAAAAAGTCAAGGAAATGATTGGTCCATTAGTGGGAGAAAGTGGCAAGAAGGTGACAAGTAACAGGGAGAAAGCAGAACTACTTAATTTGTTTTCTGCATCCGTATTTACACAGAGAAAAAACAGGAATAGCCAACACTCCAGAAGACAGGCTTAAGATACAGAAGTATCTTGACAGACTTGAACATTTGGCGCTATCTAACAAAATGAAATTCAATGGTGAAAAAAGTAAGGTTCTACATTTAGGCAAGAAAAACCAAATGCACAGATATAGTATAGGTGGTACCTTGCTCAGTAGTAGTAAC